ATTTGGCGATCGACTGTCCTCTTATGCGTTCGTATTGCGCTCACGAGGCTCGGTCGGTCGGCAGATTGACAAGTTGGTGAGCAAAGTTTCAGGTGTGCAGTGACTGAACCGAACGTCTTTCATTCGATCTCCCTCTGGTGACGCACTTTATTTGGCTTTCTCATGTTCATTTTGAAGATATGTAGTTATATGCGTCTCACTGGCCCCATCACAAACTGCCTCGTAACTTAACCTCCCTTAACGGAGTCAGTTACAGTTCAGTATATTTGAGGACAATAGGCATGTGAGTCCCCTTTGTCGTGGGATCTTATGAACCTAAGTGGAGACTGCATATTTTTACTCGAAGCCCATCACACTTTGCCGATTTACAAAAATAAGCAACTGCCGAATTTAAAAATTGTTAGACCTAACTACGTCTTCGTTAATCGTGCATATCAACACAGTTGCTATTACTTGAAATAGATTCAGATTTTAAAAAATTATGTGCGAACTTCAGATATTTAGTCATGTTTACTTCCAGTCAACCAGTTATCTTGATACACATGTCATTAAAGTGCAATGTTCTATCCAGTTCAAAAACCACAGCTATCGTGTTCAGGCGAATCTCAAGATTTAAATTTTACTTTATAACTTTGGACTGTTGTGTGAGGTGTTCTATCGAAAATGTTCACTTATTGTTGCTTATAGATCCTAAAAACATTTGCAATAATTAAGATACTTAGGGTACTTTGGAGATTTTGTAGGAGTTACCTCCCTTCCCTAGAGGCAGTGAAGTAGGCTTCGTAGACAACTTTGTCATTTAGCGATGTGTGGATTGCTCGAGAAAGGGATAGCGCAAACTCAGTATAGAAAACCACTACCTTTCAGATATGATCTTTAAGATTAATTAATCAGTTGCCAATAAGGTGAGATTTGTTTACTATATCGATCACATTCGTTCAGGCGGTGTCAAATTTTAAAGCCATAACTTAAAGGAAAACTTGCAATGAACAAGCAAAGATTCACAGTTTAAAGCATCTTTACAAAACATGCAAAGATTATTCGGTGGGGGTATTTGAAAAATGAGTCATACAAAAACAGTCGAGGTGCAAAAGGCGGCACTTTTGGCAACCTACAGTCATTTGTTATGGAAGAGTGAGGTAGGAACCATTCTGACCACTTGATTTTCTAGACCTTCTCCGTCTTATTTACTGGCAAGTACATTGGAAACTGACTAACGCTGAGTCTGTTTCAAAATGGTCAAAAATTCAATACACCCAATGATCTTCAAAATTACATCCATTTATCTGACGTTGGCTTTCCGATTTATTAACTCGATGATTTTCTATACTTATAAGCCACATTTCTTCACGGTTCATTTCAAAGATACTCGTTGAGTTAAATCAATTGATATACGATTACACTATTAAGTGAATCTTCAAGTAGACATGTAGAAAATCGACTAATTGGACCCTTCTAACAAGTCTAAAAGCTAGTTTTGCCTTCATCCTGGTTTTTCAGATTTTATTAGTGTTTATCAGAAATTTATTCCATGTTAATTTATTATGAAAAGAAATCACGACTAAACAATGCACAAAAATGTATAAATTGTAAAAATAGTTAGAACCGTTAGAAAACAGGCAAATTATGCGTCTTCTCAAAATGATGCAGAAATTTCCAAGCTAGTCTGTATATTGTTGGCAATAATTGTTGCCTCGAACGTAGCAATACAATCTT